AAAAATGCTTTTATACATTTCTCAAGGTTCAATACATAATTTGGTACAGTACAAATACTCGGGGGCGGTGTTACAAGTTCTAACCCCCTTATTTGGGATTTCGTCCCCGAAATCCACCCGTCTAGTCAAACAGAAATGGATATTGTTCCCTCATCAGGGTCTCCATTTCCCAAGTTTGCTCCTCGACATGATCACTCTTCCAAAGTACTTTTACCATCGGCACCTCTTTGCTCCTTAGCTTCTTTACTTGTCGGTCCATGATTTTCACCGGCTGCACCGTATAGTGTAGGTCTTCTCGGATTTCCACCGGTGGTTTCTCAAGAATATGTGACGGGTCCCGCACATACTTCTTGAGCATAGAAACATGAAATACATTATGAATCTTTTCTAACTCCGGAGTCAACTGAAGTCGGTAAGCTACAACCCCAATCCTTTCAAGGTTTTTTTTGAACGGACCTATGTAACGTGGGTTAAGCTTACCCCGACTGAGGAACCTGATGATCCCTTTCCAAGGTGATACCCTCAGAAATACCTCGTCACCAATCTCAAACTCCAACGTCCTTCGACGTTTATCAGCATAGCTCTTCTGTCGGTCTTGGGCAGCCTTGAGCCTATCCTGTATGACCTTTATCTTCTCCTTAGTGATCTCGACTAACTCGGTGCCCTCAAGCTTAGCCTCGCCGACCTCGTCCCAACACAATGGTGTCCTGCATTTCCTCCCATACAATGCTTCGTATGGAGGCATGCCTATACTTGCCTGATAACTGTTGTTATAGGCGAATTCCACCAAAGCCAACTGATTGTCCCAGCTCCCCTGGAACTCCAAGGCACATGCCCTCAACATGTCCTCCAAGGTCTGAATCACCCGTTTAGATTGCCCATCCATTTGAGGATGAAACGCGGTGCTAAACCTCAATTTCGTACCCATGGATTCCTGGAACTTAGGCCAAAACCGTGATGTGAACCGTGGGTCTCTATCCGATACTATAGTAACCGGAACCCCATGCAGTCTCACAATCTCATCTGTGTACAATTTGGCCAACCGCTCGAGCGTATAGGTAGTGTTGATAGGTAGGAAATGAGCGCTCTTGGTCAGCCTGTCGACTACCACCCATACCGCGTCGTAGTTCCTAACCGTCCGTGGTAGACCCACCACGAAGTCCATGGTAACATGCTCCCACTTCCATTCTGGAATGGTAAGTGGTTGCAATAACCCTGCCGGGTGTTGGTGCTCTGCCTTAACCTGTTGACAAGTAAGGCAACGGCTCACGTATTCTGCAATCTCTCTCTTCATCCCCGACCACCAGTAGCTTTCCTTCAAGTCCCGGTACATCTTTGTACCGCTCGGGTGCATGGCATACGCAGATGAGTGAGCCTCCTCAAGGATAGATTTTCGGAGCTCCTCATCCGATGGTACACACACTCGTTCCTTGAATAGTAGAAGTCCATCTTCTCTCTCACGGAAACCCTCGACGGGCCCCACAAGCATCCGTTCCCGGATTTTCTGAAACTCCTCGTCATTGCCTTGACATGTTCTGATTTCATCTAATAAGGTGGGTCTCACCTCAAATCTAGCCAATAGCGCCCCATCCGTGGATATCTCCACGCGTGCCCTCAATGCCCGTAAGCATGTGAGTAAAACCCCTGATGATGAGCTCTTCCTGCTCAGTGCATCGGCTACAACATTAGCCTTGCCTGGATGATAGTCAATGATCAAGTTGTAATCCTTAATCAACTCCATCCATCTCCTCTGTCTCATGTTCAACTCTTTCTGAGTGAACACATACTTCAAGCTCTTGTGGTCGGTGTAAATGTGACACAACTCCCCGTAGAGGTAGTGCCTCCAAATCTTCAATGCAAATACCACAGCACCTAGTTCCAGATCATGTGTGGGGTAGTTTACTTCATGCTTCCTCAACTGCCGAGAAGCATAAGCAATTACCTTCCTTGATTGCATCAGTACACATCCCAGTCCCTGAATGCTAGCATCGCTGTAGATGTCATACCCTAACCCTTGCACGGGCAAGGCAAGCACTGGTGCTTCGGTCAAACGTTTCTTTAGCTCAAGAAACCCCTTCTCACACTTGTCATCCCACACAAACTTAGCCCCCTTTTTAGTGAGCTTCGTGAGTGGGGATGCTATCACCGAGAACTTTTCCACGAATTTGCGGTAATACCCCGCTAAACCGAGGAAACTCCTTATCTCCTTCACGTTCTTGGGCCTCTCCCAATTAGTGACCGCCTCAATCTTTGAGTCATCAACTGAAATGCCCGAGCCCGATACCACATGCCCGAGAAAACCGATCTCCCCAAGCCAAAATTCACATTTAGAGAATTTGGCAAAGAGTTGCTTCTCCCGCAGTGTTTCAAGCACAAGCCTTAGATGTTTTTCGTGTTCCTCTTCATTCATGGAGTATATCAAAATGTCATCAATGAACACTATGACGAACTGGTCTAAGTATTGGTGACATACTCGGTTCATGAGATCCATGAATGCCGCGGGGGCGTTCGTAAGCCCAAACGACATCACTAGAAACTCATAGTGACCATACCTTGTACGGAATGCACTTTTGGGTATGTCACTCTCCTTGATCTTCAGTTGATGTTAGCCTGACCTCAAGTCAATCTTAGAGAACACCGTTGCCCCCCGTAGTTGATCAAACAAGTCATCGATCCTTGGCAAAGGATATTTGTTCTTTATCGTGACCTTGTTCAACTGACGGTAGTCGATACACATTCTGAGTGTACCATCCTTCTTCTTTACAAATAGTACCGGTGCTCCCCATGGTGAATGACTCGGCCTGATGAATCCGCTGTCCAGCAATTCTTCCAATTGCACCTTCAACTCTTGAAGTTCAGCCGGTGCCATCCGATATGGAGGAATCGAGATGGGTTTTGTACCGGGTTCTACTTCAATGGTGAACTCAATTCTCGATCTGGTGGGAGTCCCGGGAGTTCTTCAGGGAAAACTTCTGGGTACTCACTCACCACTCTCACCTCAGTGAGACTCTTTTCCTTGCCCTCCTTGCCTATGACATAGGCCAAGTATGCTTGACACTCTTTCCTCATCATACGCCTTGCTCTTATGGCCGATATGATACAAGGGTTGAATTTCCCTCTATCTCCCTCGAAGAATAGAGTGTTCCCTTCTCCATCCTTTAGTTCCAACACCTTGGTGTAGCAATCTACCTTCGCATGGTGTTTTTCGAGCCAATCCATGCCAAGTATAGCATCAAACTCGAGCATATCTAACGGCACAAAGTCACCCGTTAGACAGTGCCCCCCTATCCCTACATTACACGAGGGATAGTAGTGTTTCCGCTCTACATCGTCTCCCAATGGCGTAGAGACCAGCAAAGGTTGCATCATTGCTACCAAAGGCATGTTCAATCCCTTGGCAAACGCTTCGCTCACAAATGAACGTTGTGCCCCGGTATCGATGATAATTCTCGCATCCCTATCGTTGATCTTTAGTGTTCCTACATATATAAGTCATGTAAGGCACCCTATTCGACATCCCGACAGAAAAGGACCGGACGGAAAAATTTCAGTCTAGAATTACCCCCATACCCGGTCGGGTATATACCTATACCCGGTCGGGTATCACTCAAAATCCACAAATAAAAGCTCACTGTCTTCTACGCTCGATCGAGTACACACTTCGAAGCTCAAAATCTACACATACCCGATCGGGTATATAGCCATACCCGATCGGGTATTGCTCGAAATGTCAAAAATAATGCATCCTGCCTTGGCTGCCCGAACGGGTTCACACTTCAAACTTCGAAGCATAACTTATACCCGGTCGGGTCTATAGGAGTACCCGATCGGGTCCTTCATTTTTTTGAAGATTTTTCAACCAATTACATGATCAAATACGTGTGAAATCAAGAGATCACCTGCAATGGAGTCCGGGTTGGCCCGAGCATCAGCCTCGGTCATTGCATACACCCGTGCTTGGGTCCTCCCTTGGTTAACGGACGCGGCGTTGCTAGCCGTGGGTCCGCTCCTTCCCGTGCCGGCCTGAGACGGCCCCGCACGTCCCCTACTAGTCGTAGGTCCTCCCATGGCTCCCGATGGTCCTCTCCCGTTCAGCATTGGACAAGAGGATTTGAGGTGGCTCGTGCTACCGCATTTGTAACACCGGGGTGGTTCATTGCACTTCCCCGCATGATTCTTGCCGCAGTTTGCACACCTCGGTGACCATGTACTCCCTGGTTTGGCCCCTTGCCCTCCTGAACCTTTGTTCCTTTTCGCCGGTGGTGCCGGCGCCCTGAATGAATTGCCACCCCCAGCGTGATGCTTTCGGGAGTGGTCTTGGGGTCCAGCGTTTCCCCATCTTCTTTTCTTCGCCTCCTCGGTGTCCCTCAACTTCCTCTCGTTCCATTGGGCTTCCCCAAGGAGCCCCTAATCGACGATTTGGCTAAATGTCATAATGTGATGGTAAGTAGCCCGGTCACGGATGTCCAACTGTAGAGCATCCCAAAAGTGATTGGCCATACGATTTTCATCCAATGAGTATTCCGGGATGAATCGTGCCAAGTCACGGAACCTTTGTTCCAATTGCCTCACCGAGCAACCATCCTCCTGTTTCAGGTTCGTGTACTCTCTTCTTTTGAGATTGACTTCAAAAGTTGAGTAGTACTGATTATAGAACTCCACTTCGAATTCCTCCCAAGTGGCTTCACCGTGGAACTTTCCCTCCACGCCTTCCCACCATACAACAGCTACCCCTTCTAGTAACCTGGTGGCAACCCTCAACTTCACGTCGAGTGAAATTTGCATGTCCCTAGAAGCATCATTCAGCTTCTTAATCCAGTCGGCGGCCTCAGATATGTCGCCCTAGCCATCAAATGATTTGCACCCCAAGGCCCTGGCCTCCTTGAGGTACTTGGATATACGCACCATCGTGTCTCCTCCAAATGCTCCAGATGGAGCACTAGAAGCTCCCCGGCTTCCTTGTCCCATGGCCTGTCTAGCCTGTCTAGCTTGGCGCCGTTGTTCTCTCTTTGCCTTATTCTCGAGGTACCATTCTAGTACCTCACTCATACGGTCATAATGAGGATCATCATCCTCATCTTCTTCCTCAAAGTCCTCCCCGTTGTACGGGGTCTCCTCTTGCTCCGTGCTTGGAGCATACGTGAAATCGTCCGGTTCGGTGGCCCTAGATGGGTGCACAGAACCGACACGTGTGCTACTTGCCATCGGCGTTGTAGAACGCCCACGACCCCTGCCTCGGCCTCCTCCTCGGCTTTGGCCCCGGCCTCTACCCCTAGAGGTCCGTGATTCCGCCCGAGTGGCATGCCCGGTGGCCCCCGGCACATGCCCTGTCGGGTTCCTCCTAGTTATCCTGCGTCCACCCTCCATTTCTGAAAGAAATAAGGAATGAGTCATTAGACTCGTTTCAATGTCAATTGACGGATTAGTACAAAAGACACCACTTGGTCCAACATTATGGCCAACAAACTGTTAAGGGTACCGTCTTAACAATAAGAGGTCAATAACTTGGTTTCCAACGGTTCCTTAGGTACAAAAACTTCTGCTCATGGTTTTATTCAAGACTTTTTGAGGATAACCATATTGAGAGGTTAATTATATAGTTTAGAAATCGATGGCTCTGATACCACTTAATTGTCACGCCCCGGACCGCATCCGAGCCACGTAGACAACCGTCGTACAACCCGATAGGAACAACAACAGTTCATCCCTATTGGATTGTACAAGGCGTCCGATTGATTCTATTGCCAAACCGATTAGTAAACACATACAATCAACATCAATATCATAATCAAACAAATGTGGAATAATAAAATGTTTGATACTTAGCCACACGTGGCAAACACGGGCACGCAGGCCCCCAACTGTTTTAATGAAAATATTGTTCAAAAATCCATGAGCAGTTTATACATTTGAAATAAGAATGGAAGCACGAACCACGTCTTCCTTCTCGATCAATCACCCTAGGCAAAGGTGCAGGTAGTAGGACTCTAGCCTCAACCTGAAAATGTGAGGGGCCCCGGAGGGGTCAGTACTCCATAGAAGTACTAGTGACAAGCAGGCTATATGAAGAATAACTAATGTTTCAGACACGAGACCCAAAAATAGGGTGATATATATACATATAGATGTCCCTCATCCACCCGATGATACATACTGTATATATACTCGTAAAATACTCAACTCGTAGGTCATTTACCTTAAAGAGTCTTTTAGAGATAAAGTTCTTACCTGACTTTTCTCACTCCTTTCCCGGCTACCTAGCTCACAAGCTATAGTCTACCTTCGATTCATACTACCGAGTGTTTTAGGATCATTTACCGTCCAAGGCACTCAACCCATCCTGGAGTATTTAAGATCATTTACCGTCCAAGGGTACTCGGCCCCACCTGGAGTATTCTGGATCATTTACCGTCCAAGGGTACTCGACCCCACCTGGAGTATTCTGGATCATTTACCGTCCAAGGGTACTCGACCCCACCTGGAGTATTCTGGATCATTTACCGTCCAAGGGTACTCGACCCCACCTGGAGTATTCTGGATCATTTACCGTCCAAGGGTACTCGACCCCACCTGGAGTATTCTGGATCATTTACCGTCCAAGGGTACTCGACCCCACCTGGAGTATTCTGGATCATTTACCGTCCAAGGGCACTCAATCCCCAGTCTATTCTCTACCAAATCCTAACCTGGATATGGCTAACCTTTCATTCCTTTAACTATGGACAATGCCTAGCCCTATAGTCACATAACAATCCTTAGGATCCAACGTGGGCGGGTCCCACCCGAACGGCCCACGTTAACCTACTCAAAACTGCCCATTCTGAGCTTAACCCAAGACCCGGTCGGGTATCCCACCTTACCCGGTCGAGTGGGGTGAGGCAGTAGCCCCTGGAGCCAACTTTACTTGAGACCCGGTCGGGTCTACACCCATACCCCGTCGGGTCTAGTGTGGCAGTGGCTTCTGGAGCCATTAATAATCAAAACCCGGTCGGGTATTCACCCATACCCGGTCGGGTATCACCTTTGTCTTGGCGGTCAACGCTCGTTTGACCGCCCAAACGAAGTCCGATTAACGTGAAATTTTATACACTTATACTTCTTGACGTCCTTGATCCAAAAATACCATTTTGGATCCCTGGAACATCACACATAAGAAGTTATCACATTTTTGATCACCAAACCTACATAACATGCTTTTCAATTGTGTTTTATGTATAATCATGGCATAAGCACACACTTGGTTATCTTTAATCATTCCACAAAACATATTCCTGATTACTTTAGGTAATCTCATGCCTCACGCAAAAGTTATAAAGCATAAAGCCGTCTTCTCACCTTAATGAAGCTTATGAAGTTCTAGCCTTCCCGATTTAGCTCCGACGAAACTCCGGCGAACTTCAACGAACTCCGGCGACAACTCCGGCGACCTTTTCAACTCCGTGAAAGTTCCTTGAATAACTTAGACAAGTTACTAACAAGGTTTTATCATCATAAAACCCATAGTAATATAAATAACCTTCAAAAGGTTATTTTCCGGCGAACCGGTCCTTTGGCTTCTAAGTCCGTTCTTGGACTTAGAACCACCTTCCAACCCCTCTTCCTACACATCCCAACGTGTAGAACAATCCTAGGGTGTGAAATATGATTGAATAATCATATAAGATGATTAAAGGAAACGAAATGGAGTTAATGGAGTCCTTACCTTGCTAAACACAAGTTTTCCTCTCCAAAACAACCTTTTCTCTTCTCTTTTCCCCTCCTTCTTCCTCCTTTGTTCTTGGTGCGTGAAAGGATGAGGAAATGGAGTATTTTCATAGTTTCTCTCCCTTCCTTGGATGATTGAACCGAGCATATGGGGTGAGGGGTGATTGAGGATGCCATTTTGGCATTTCTCACCAAATCATGTGGCAAAGGTCCCACCCTCATATTTATTGGTCTCCCAATCACTTCCCCAGCCAATTCTCAGCTCCAAGATGCGTCTCCCCTTGCTATTTTCCAGACCAAGGACGTGGGTTGGCCCCCACTCATGTGGGAGGTCAACCCTTTGTGTACCCGAGTGTACAATCGGTCCCGAAAGTTGTATTTTCCGGACTGTTTTAAGTATATTTTATTTTATCGGGTCAAATAAAATATAACACTCGTTCCCAATCCTTATTGGGCCTTAGAATCATTATGAAATCCCCAACTTTAATTTATAGGTTCTCGGAATCCCTTTTTTGGGCTGTTATCTGATAAATTGCCGATACCGATAATTTGGCCCGTTTGACCAACTGGTCAACCTTGTGCCATTGTCATGGCCCAATTAGGATATCCACCACCATATACATATTATCTAGTCCAAGATTAATATAATATGTGGTCCCGATAATATCGGGCGGCCCCACATCCGGTGTGGGCCCCACGTGAATTTTACTATTCACGTAATAGAAATGATAAAAATTTACAATCACGTAAAAATGCTTTTATACATTTCTCAAGGTTCAATACATAATTTGGTATAGTACAAATACTCGGGGGCGGTGTTACAATAGTAAAAAGTTTGGCAGCGGAAATAACATCAACAGGGAAACGGGTGTTACCGTCACATACGGTCATCTCTTAACCGAATGCACAAGCAATCCGGAAATAAACAAAGTAAAACAAATATTCGACATAACTAAAATGTTTATTCTTGTCTAAGTTTTACTAAGGCATCTCTTAACCGCTCTCGGGCGCATTCAATCATCAATCAACATAGTCATCATTACCTGCACAAATAAAGTGGAGAAAACAAAATAAAGAAAAGGAAACCAAAAATTAGCTTTAGAGCTAAGTAAGTACTACCCAACCCCGTAAAATAATCAGGTTTGGCGAAAAATAGTTTTTGATATAATACTATAAAAATAACACACTCCACCAAAATTCTTTTCTCTTTGATTTTTCTCTCAAAATCACTTCTTTACTAAAGTCTTCAACTTTTCTTCGAAAATACTGTAGTAACTCTACTCTTAGAATTTCTCAAAATTCACTTATTCTCTATCTTCCTAGTAATTTAGAAGGGCAGTGCTCAACACTCTGGTTGAGTCCGATGGTTATGTTATTATGTACGGCCACCCCGGGACTTTTGCCAATACCACAACTGCTAATGGAAACGAAACGACTACCTTAAGTGTGCACACCCCCTAAAAGGGATTCCAAGCCCTCCGAGTAGTAAGTCGTCACGAGTAATCGGAACTCAGTCTACCAACTACCCCACCTTTAAAATTCTTGAATGATTAGGGACTACTACTACTATAATTTGTTCTTAAAAGGGATCATAGATCCAAATGTCACTTCAAAATCAAACCGTAGTTTTTAGTAGTAGCAGCCTTGATCACCTTCCACATTTATCCGGATGTGAAAAACCGACACCACGGATTTCTCCCGGGTGCTCACCTCTTATGAAATCCTTAATTTTATCTTGAATTAAGATATACTTCAAAAATATTTCTCCATCTCTCTAAATAGTCTCAAAGGTATTTAAAAATATTTAATACCCCAAAAGTACTCAATTTGTATTTCTCAACTACCATATATATAATATCTCCTCAAAATCGCATACACATAATTCAAAATTCACACTTAATCACATAATGCATAATGAGCATATAATACGAGGAAATAATTTTGGATTGACAGAGAAACTTACCTCAAATCCGATGCTCCTAATTCTCTTACTCTAATCCGGTCTCTAAATAATCACCTATTTAACTAAGATGCTATAATTAGTCACTTATTCTGTTTTTAATAATTTCCCAAACCCCCTTCTTAAATTCGTCCACATTATTTAAATTCAACCTTTACTATTAATTGTAGTCCGAAGTTATACCTTAATTACAAAAATTAAGATTTATTAGTCCTTAACAACTTAATAAAATACCATTAGATATTTTGAGTTATATAATTTAATGATTATTAAACTATCCTTCATCGCTCATTATGTCAATGTATTTCTTAATTCAAATTTCCACCTTATTTATCAATTACTGTTATTTTAAACTTTAACCTTTAACTTAATCCACTATCTTTAACATAATACTATTTAAATAACCAAATCATTATTTTATTTAATAAACAGTCCGAATTTCTTTCATGTTAATCCTTTATAAAAATTGAGGTTTGTTAACCAATATCACTTTAACTTAATCTTTCTTAATTTAATTTAATCCAATTTCTGAATCGTTACTAATCATATTTTAATATTATTAAAATATACGAATTGACTTACTACACACAAGACGTATTCTTGGGTTAATATTCAATAAATTAACTTTAATAACCAATTAAATAAAAAAATATCGATTAATCCAATTGTATAATTATTCTACTAATATTAATTTTCATGGTTAATTCACATTATTTTGTCAAACTTAAATAAATATACTATATTCAGATATTATTAATATTTATTATTATTATTATCACTATTATTAATTACTAATTCGTATAGGCTATTTAACAATTTAGATGGAAAGGATCCAACGGCACAATAATTTGCTTATTCTAAACAACCCAGCCCGTTAAAATTAGAAAAAAGTGTTTGGAAGAGTCACCTACGTACGTACGTACTCTTCTTCTACGGTAAGTGAACGCATGAACGGTGACAGCTGATGGCGTAGCTTCTCCCACCGGCGACCCTTTAAGCGGCTTCGCCGACGGGCAGCAGCGGTCCTGGAGAGAGACGGCATCGTCCCGGACAATAGTGGATTCACCTCCTCTGGTGTGAGCGATCCGACAGTCTGGCCAAACAACTAGGTCTCTCCTCTGTCAACCGAATTCTAACTTTTCTCCGGCGTCCAGTGGCTTCCAGCGACGACCTCTAAAGCTACGTGGTTTTTATGGTGATTAAGTGGAGGTTTCGATCCGGCCCGTAGCTACGCAGTCACCCCGGCGGACTCTTCCACTCCGGCGTGGAGAACCAGTCCGGCGAGCTCCGGCGTCTTTGGTACAATGGCTACTCTCTTACCCCTCTACTCACGCTCTTAGTTTTTGTTTTCTTTTCTTTCTTCTAGCTCGCAATGGATACCTCGGTCGTTGCTAAGTTGGATATATAAATACATATATATAGTATAATATTGAGTGAAGGTTCCGGTTTAACACCTAACAGTACAGAGTCATGGAGGGATGGGTCTTTGGCATCCTATCATTCAATTAATTTAGACATACTCATGTGCCTCGTTAGTTGTTTGGTTTAACTTGTTGTAAAAATGTTTCTTTTATTATTGAAACATTTTTACCTGACTACAAATGTCACCAATGTTAAAACTTTATCTGATTCACTTCATTGTTAAAATGTCCGTGTCGTAACATTTTATCTGACTAATAAAAATTATGTATCTTATTTTTTAAAAAAAATCGGAGTGTCACACTTTCTTCCTTGGTGCCTTGCAATCCGAGGACTTGTGTCCATTTTTGTTGCAATTGAAGCATTTTCCATTAAATTTTGATTTGAAAACGCCTCTCTTGGGACCGAGCTTGCTCTGATCTTCCCATTATTTTAATTTTTGGAGCCTTTAGAATGCTCCATCACATTTGTCTTGGCGCCGTTAAAGATTGGGAGTTTCCCATCGTTCTTCCGGTTATCCTCTTCAATCCGCAGACGGAGGATCAATTACTCCAAGTTCATTTCCTTTCGTTTGTGCTTAAGGTACTTCTTGAAATCCTTCCAACCCGACGGCAATAAATGGATAATTGACGCCACTTGGAAAGACTCACTAACTGTCATTCCTTCATCTCGAAATTCGTTGAAGATCATTTGCATTTCCTCAACTTGACTCAAGACCATCTTCGAATCCACCATTTTAAAATCAAGGAATTGATCAACAACAAATTTCTTTGCGCCGGCATCCTCGCTTTTATATTTGTGGTCCAAAGTATTCCATAGCTCCTTAGTCGTAGCTAATTTGCTATAAACGTCGTACAAAGCATCATACAGCCCGTTCAACACATAATTTTGGCAAAGAAAGTCCGAATGCTTCCAAGCCTCAACCGCGTTGAAAGACTGCGCATCAACCTCACCCCCGGTTACTACCGGCGCGTCTTCGGTCAAGAACCTAGCAAGACCGAGAGTAGTGAGATAGAAGAGCATCTTTTGTTGCCATCTCTTGAAGTTTAATCCATTAAATTTATCGGGTTTCTCCACAGAGTTGCTTGGCACGGTAACCATAGGGATAGCCCTTTGGTTGCCCAAAGCAGATGCACCGCGTTGTGAACTATTGTTCACCGAAGCCCCGCTTTCATATTGTGTGTCGTTTGACACGTTTTGCCCACCAACATTCTGAATTCCTTGAGAAGCCATTTACGTTTCTTTCGTTTTCCGAAAACACAAAAAAAAGTTCGTTCACAAGAGTGACAAACTACAGTTTAAGATTGTATCCGTATGATACAAGCTTAGCAAAATACGTTTTAAGATTGTATCCATGTGATACAAGCTTAGTGAAATATGTTTTAAGTTTGTTGGGTGTGTTTCGAAAATCAAAGAAATAATTAATAAAAATTAATTAATTAAATCACTAAAGAAAAACAGAAAATAGATGAAGCAGAATTTAACCAAAGCTCATGCTACGCACGATGTTCTTAAAACGTATTTGTTGCCTCCCGGGGTGCTAGGAGCGTTGCAACGATAGTTTCCGAGGATACGATGACTACGAACAATTGTTTGAACACTCAAACAAATTGTTCCGGCGAACGTGAACAAGTATGAACACCAGGGAATTTTAGAGAAAGCTGGAGGGTTTGAGCTAGAGAAGTGTACAGTTCGTGTATGAATTGTCTTTTTTTTGTTGAAAACCACCTGCCAACCTTTTATAGGGAAGATTTGTTGTGCGTTAATTACGTTTTTAATGGACATTACCGTTGGACATCAATGC